AAGTTGGACACGACTTAATGACTGAACAACAAGTCCTCTTTTTTCCCCTGTAAATATTTAAACATGGTTAACTTTTCTGTTTAAATCAGTGGGCTTTACTCGGATCTAACCATATTGAAGTGTACTCTGAGACTTATGTTTTCTTCTCATTACATTTCAAGTTCCTTTTGATCTTAAAAATATATCTGCATACTCATACCAATGTTATTTGTATTCTCAAACATGACTGGGGTGTGCGAACAGATAATTACAGTTTCCAGGAAATAGTATTGAGCGATTTTGAACAAACCATACTTGTTCATGTTACTGTACTCTTAATGTTTGTTCAGTGACATTCCTTACAGTCCTTATTAGTATAAGAAAAATTGTTTATAATTGTGGCTTTAGCTTAACAACATGATTATTCATAAACAAAGATTGTCATTAAATTAGGACTGCAGTCTCAGTTACCACATATATCAATTTAAAAATATTAACACTTTTGAGCATTGGTTCTGTTTTAATACATGTGCCCCAGCTAAGGAATTTTTCTAACCATTAGTAATTGAAACACATACCATATATTTGCAGTGGGATAAGGCCCTGGTAAGCTGTCAGATTCTATTAAGAACATGCTCTTATTTGTCAAAACACCTTAATTCTCAGGGACAGATGTTTCAATGCAACTAGCATTTTTCTAGAAATTGGTGGTAATTATTTCATTGTTTTTCCTAATCACTAAAATGTCCATAGAAATTGAAAATTGAAAAATAAAAATATAATAAAATACATTACAGTACAACCATCCACAATAATGACCAAGAGGTAACAACCAGTAAATAGATGTGGTAACATTTTGTAACCCAAAAGCTATCCTAAATATTTCTATTTTCAATAGTTTATGAAAAGTTAATATTATTATAATATAATATTATTAACTTTTCATAAACTATCAAATTTATGCATATAAAATTTCAGGGAGAAGATATTCCAAAAGGCAGGTGCAGTAGCTGCGAAGACAGTGCTTGCAAGCCTCCATCTCCCTTACTCTGCAAAAGTGGGGAATCACTAGCAGGGATTGGGATGTATATATCAGGCAGCCAAAATTGATTGGAAAAGTTGGTCCTGAAGTTACTCCAGGGTCAAGCCATCTAGGGCTTTAAAGGTCAAAAACAGCATTTTGAATTGCACTTAGAATGGGGAGACAGCGCAAGACCCAAACCACTGTGGTCTCATAGGCTTCTATCAGCATGTACCAGCCAACAACTAGGTCACTGCATTTTGGACTAGTTGAAAGTTCTGGGTGGTTTTCAAAGTCAGCCCCATGTAGGGTAAATTGCAGTAGTCCAGCCAACTGATGATGAGAGTGTGAGTCACTGTTGTGAGTTCCCCAAGATAGATACCAAGATATTCACAAAACTTAATTAATTTTACTAATAACAAATAGATTACACAAACACTTATAGATTTCAGGTTTCTAACAAATGTAGCTTGCTAAAACTTTTCATTTTCTAATTTTATAATCCAAATGAGATGGAATCAGGAAACTACATTCCCAACAAAAATTCCCTGGATCAGCAATACTTAAAATACTTAAAATCAATAATACTTCAAAGTATATGAAGCTTTGGCTGAAAAATTAATACAACAATAATGGCGCTTTTAAAAACTCTACACTGCACAACAAATGTAGTCAGATTTAGTTACTACTGCTAAACTATATTGCCACTATCATCTTTCCCCAGCTAATTTCTACAGTAACAAAGGGAAGGAAGTAATAAATATATGTAACTAATAAATATGTGTAGATTATAGTACAAAAGTTTTCTGCATCAGTAATAATTTTTACTAGGGGAAGAGGTAAGAAATGTATGAAGTAATCAGCATAATTAATAATTAATATGAGTTCAACTTTGTCTTATTTTCTTCTGTTGAACTGTAGGCAGTGTACCCTGAAAGCTCAGACAGTTTCTCATCTGCACAAACCTGTTTTATTATTTAACACTGTTGTTGCATTGTTTAACTTAGTATAATTCCCATACTTTTATCCATTTGCTTGTTTTTCAGATTTGTCAAAGTTCAAAGCAAATGGGCAGCAACTCTCAGAGAATTCCTGAAGGGAAAGGTCCTTATTCTGTGGGATGTACAGATCTCATGACTGGTTATAGTATTCAGGTATTTATAAACTGCCATCATTAATAAACCTTGCATGAAAACAAAACTAATCCAAAATATAAAATAGTCTAGCAGATGATCCATCTAGCATTATTGTTTTCAGGCTAGAAGTTTTACTAGTTACTGCAGTCAAGCAACTGGCAGAATGTCATTTCCAAATGAAGCAGGTATCCCCAAGGTACCTGCGCCAATCAGTTTCTCCTTTCCTCCCTGGTCAGTTATGTGTTGTGTATTTTGAGCTAGTTATGGCACAAGCCCACTGCTGCCCTATTCAAAAGACTAACTTGTTACACAAAACAGGTAGCTTTTTCTCTTGTCTTTTTATAATGTAAAAGTAACCTGCCTTTTATTTAAAAAGCTCACGGAAAACATCCATAAACGTCTGTTTTGGACCCATTCACATCTTTCATTCATTTTGTCAGGAACAACAAGGAGGAAGGAGTTCATTTGCTTTCTTCATTCATTACAAAATAAATACACAATCCTATCCAAGCCAATTTTGAGGCAATTTTAACTGAGGCAAGTTGCTTTGATAAAAGGTAGGGACAGTATAATAATGGAATATTAAAAAGGGGTATCTATTTATGGTTGTACAAGAGAGTTGAGGCCCTTTTGTGATAAACAAGTTTTCTATATATAGAGTAGGTATAGAATTTCAGACTGCAGTAAAATGCCAAGTTTTATTGTTTGACTGTGCTGGTGCTGCAAAAATGCCATGAATCAGCCAGTACAGATAATGATGGTGTCCAAACTCTCCTCTGGTTATGGCCAACATGAATACTTTCAAAAGAGAAATACAGTATTTTGATTTGAAACACTGTACTTTTAAGCAAGTTTTTGTCATTGGTAATTTTTAAAATGAGTAGATTAAGGGTAGAGCTTATTTATTCATGCTTTTTTTCAATTAAATGTTTAGAAGCAGTTTTCAATAACTAATTTTATTATTTAATACTAGGGGATTTTTTTGCGTCTGTATTATCCTTCCCAAAATTGTATGAATAATGAAGATACAACATGGATTCCCAGAAAAGAATATTATTATGGACTGTCTGATTTTCTTAACATATATCGGAAGTTAGGGGAGTTCATTTTTGCACGCTATGTTGGTAAGTTTCGGAGGGGTTGTGAATTATAGTCACCAGCCCATATAAAGCATATTCTTCTGTATATGTGTTTTCAGCCTCCAACTCTCAAGTGTATGCATTTTCTATGTCTGATTCTTAGAAAAACAATTATGGTAGGTACTAACAATATTCTGATTAGTGCTATTAGAGAAATAGATTCTTAAGATAATTTACAAAAGGATGTTGCAACAATTGTTTCTGCAAAGGCAATATAAAGTTAGCTTCTCTACATCTGTGCTGGGCCCACCCAAGGCTGATTTGGGTAGAAAAACATACAGTACTGTAAAATATAGAAACAAATGCTAAAAACTACCCCAAGGTAGTTTAAGGCAAAGCATATTACTCTTTTATGACACAGAAGAATCCAGACAAATTGCTCAAGACCTATGAGCTTATTTATGTAACTCTTTGGGTCCATAGTGGCAGCATTTTTATTCAGTTCCAAGGCTGAATAATTATGTCCAACAGAGTAAGTTGAGCTTGGATTGGTTTATTGTGTTCAGTCTCAACAGCTCCAAATATTGCTAATGCTAAAATGGCCATCATATGATTAGTTTAGCACATGGCAGAGCAATTTGTATTCACTGCCATGATTCTGAAAAGAACTTTTTCAATATATTTATATGGGGGCAGTGCCCTTGGGAATTAAAATTTTTAACAATCTGCAATAAGTGCTTCTTGAATTATTCCTTTTTAAAAAAGATTTTGCTGCAAAGCAGCCCTTCTAAATCAGTCAGAGGTCAAGGGACTCCACAGTGTATCTGATATCAAGAAATATTTAACTGAATCTGCTCATCCAGAGAGAACATCTCTGGAAAGCCTGTTAAGAGTATCCCCCCATTCCCAAAATGAGGGGGACCTAGATGAGATGATAGGTCTTTTCCATTGCAGACCCCACACTTTAGAAATCCTTAGCTCCAGAAGTCTGTAAAATCTCCCTTGCAGCTTTTAGAAGAACTTTAAAGACAGTTTTCACCAGGCCTGCAACCCTTGCTAAATTGTGTTGGCACCCATCTTGGGGGAGGGTTGATTTATTATTAGTTATCTGTAGATGTTGTCCCATTAGATTCAGCCTTGTTTTCTCCCCACTAATACACCTGGAAGGTTGTTACATTATAATGTATTCTTTTAGTGTCAAATAGTCCCAGATTGTTTAGTAGTGCTGCCAACAGTAAAACAACTGTAAACCATAAAATTCTGGACTCAGATAATTTACTATTCTTGAAACCCCTCTCTCTACTTTTAGAGATAGAAAATAGATCTGCAGATATAGAGTGGAACTTGTGTTATCCAGGGGAAAATGTACAAAAATAGCTAATAAATATTTGGGATGGATAAGAAAGTGCCATTTCAAGAATGCTGTACAGTTTGCAAGAAGACTTTAAATTCAATCTACTGAAGCCATAAAAAAAAAAAATCAGAAAAAGTACCAAGAGTTGTTTTCTTCTGTCTAGGCTCAGTTACATGTCCTGCAAAGTGGAATGCTGAATTCAAGCCTGGAGAAAAATATCCCCTAATTATTTTTTCCCATGGACTTGGAGCATTTAGGTAACACTGCCTTTTTGCATATCTTATATCTCTGAAAAAGCAGGTCTGGTTCACCATGTATGCTTGCATTCATTCAAGACAATCCATGCAGATGACAGCCATATCTTTTTCTAGCATGGCTTCACCCTACATAAACCATCAATAAGAAATATCTCCTGAAATAAGATCCCTGAGGCTTTTTGTTACATATTATTTAATAATATTATGGCTGCAATATTAATTTTTACTGTTTGGAAGATGAAGATGATAATTAAGATGATGAAGATGATTATAATCAAAACTAACATAGTTCCATACCAAGAGCAGCCTTTGGCCATGCTGACTACTAATTATCAGAGGTGTGGTCAAACACACCTGGAGGAACCAAGATGAATCTAGAGCTATCTGGTTTTGGACATGAGTGAGTTGTATCCAATCCCCTGTTCATTTTATAACTCACCTATAATTTGGGGCAATTCATAACCTTTAGCCTTTGTTTTTCTGATTGTTAAAATGGAATTCTCTCATTCCTGCCATTCTGTACAATGCCCATGCTGCATTCTCACCATAACAACTTCATATTTTTTTTATTTTCACCACCCAGCTCCTCCCCAGTCTTTCTCTCACTTTACCAACCAACTCACTCTCCACTTTATTGCCTTTCTTCATTCTATTTGCTGTGCACATCTCTAGTTACCTGCTGACCCATGTGATTCTCTAGCTTCTCATAACCCCACATTCTCTGTCCACGTTCTTTTCCCAGGAAGCAGTTGTCCAAAAGGGGCTCCTCTTTTCCTTTTTCCCAGAATGCTTCTTGACACAGAATGAATGAATGAAAGTCAGGAGCGACCTGTGGCATGAAAATGATTGGGGGGGGGGCTGAAATGTTTTGCAGCAGTACATTCTTCATGTTCCTAATTGTTTAATGATGTGAATAGAATATGGGGAAGGGAAACAAACAGCCTTAAGGATGCATTGGCCTATTTTGGTAGAGGTTTTTATGACTATGGACATGACCAGGAAATATTTCCCACAATACAGAAGGGGAACTGGGAGACTGCCAGAATGTTCTTAAAGATAAGGTGTGTATATTTCCCTGATCCATTCTCTTTTTTTCATCTTTATATATTTTACCTTATCAATATACATGTGACAACATGTTTTAATCTTTCTACAAGATCTAGGAATTTAGGCTGTTTATGTATAATAACAAATATCAATAATAACAAAGGAGATGTAGCATGCAAATGATTTACAAGATTGACCTAATCTGCAAAATTCTATTTATTTCAATAGAACGCTGTATTCTGCAATTTGCATTGAAATGGCATCTCAGGGGTTTGTTGTTGCTGCTGTGGAACATAGGTATGTTTATATCTCAATTTTTAATTGACTGAAGTAGAAATATGCATATAGAATCTGATTAAACACTTTGTACTTATTGTAAACTGAGAATACCAATGAATTTCATTCTACCAATCAGAGACCCAGTATGGAATAATAACTATGGTGTTTCAAGCCTCATTTGCCTGTGACCTCAAGGGGGGATGTTGGGCCAATTCACCTCTTTCAGCCAACCTCCTCTTTTCAGAGGCTCGTGACTATGAGGATGAACTTCAACATTTGGACTGTTGGCTGTAGTCAACACAAGTGTTTTGAATTATTGCTTTGAGAGGTACTTCAGTGGACAATGTGACATCAGTTTGAGTACTTTCATAGATTTTTGAGGAAAGATTTAACAGAAAATACTAACTACTGAATAGCCTTCTATTACCAGTCTTGACAGAAAAATCTGTTTACACTTCCACACTTTCTCATATTTTACATATATTTTATTCTACTTGCATATCATGCCCATTGCATTGTTCCATTTTGGAGTGCTATTTAAAGCTCAGAAAAGGAGTAAAAATAATAAACCAAAGGAATTAAAGGCATAAGACAAGAACAATGAAAGGAAGCATAGCAAAACCTAGTTTACACCAATATCACTGTATGTCCCCATACCTTGTTATCTTTGCAAACCATCCTTTCTTCCACCATATCCAACCACTGCTTCATACATTGCCTTCTGCTCTTTAAACTTCTCACCTCTCTCTTTCTGAGGATCCCATCAATTTCATCCAGCCTTTACTTCTTAGCCTTCCCTTTCCTATTGAGCCATTCACTCTCCATGTATTTCTTTTGCAATTTGATCTCATTCATTGTCTCTATATGGCCAAACCATCTCAATTTACTTCTTTCATTCTGGTCACGTACTTTTGTATTCAGTCTACATTCACTCATCACTCATTCACTCTTGCTGTTCTTGTTTTACCACACATATTTTATAGATACTCCATCATACTGCATTCAACCTCCTTCTGAATTTATTTTGACATGTGTTCTTATTTTTTTTTTTTTT